GGAGCGGGAGCCCGCCTGCTCGCCCGGGCAGGCCGGGGGAGGTGCGAGGCTGCAGGCGCTCCGGGCCAGGCGCTCCCGCACCTGCAAAAGGGTGGCCGGGTCTGGGCGTGCGACAGCCGCGACTCTGTTTTAGTGTACGTGTCGTGACTTGTGTCTGAATACGCCGTTATGTGCGTCTACACGTGTCTACATCTGTGTGTCTGTGTACACAGCCCACCTCCTACACGCTGCCTCAATGCCCCAAACCCCAGTCCGCCAGCAGCCCCCCCTCCCCGGCTCTCCCCAGGCGCTGCCTCCTCCTTCCCAGGCCCCCAAATTCCTACATCATCTTTTCTCAAGGCCCAGACCGGCCATTTCCCCAAGTTCCTGCTCACACCCGCGGGTCGCGCCTTCCCCATCCTGCACCCGCAGGCCCCTCTTCCATCTCCGTAGGCTCCGCCCCTCCGTTTCCGCGGGCACCAGTGCACCTCCACCGGCCCCTCCTGGCTTCTACCCACCCCAGGTCACACTCGGTCTCCACCAGGTACCAAAGACAGGCCACACCTCTTCCCCGTTCCGAATCCCATCTCCTCTGTCTCTCATCTCGTCCTGGGGCCCTCTTCTCACCTGCCCGCCTCTTCATCTCTCTGACTCGGCCCCCACAACGCCCTACCAACTACAAGACTCCACCCTGTCCCTGTGGTCCCCATTTCTCAGGCCCCTTCCCATCCTGCCAAACTCCTGTGCTGCACAGCCCCACCCTGCTGGCCCCACTCATTTCCCACTCCTCCCACTTCCCTGGCCCCGCCCTCTACCGCAGCGGGGCCCCTTCCCAGGCTTGGCTCCACCCTGGCCCCGCCCCCTGCCTTGGCCCCGCCCTACCCGGGCGCGCTCACATGGTCTCGTCGTCGCCGAACTCCAGCTCGCCGCACGCGTCCTCGTAGTGCACGCCGCCGCCGCGTGCCGTGCCGTCCACCGTGCGGTAGGGCAGGCGCACGGTGCCACGCGCGCCCGAGCTGCGTATGACGCGCACGTCCACGGTGCCCATGCACTCGCTCACGTGCAGCAGGCGGTCCTGGAAGGAGAAGATGCCCGCGTGGTCGTCGTCCAGGATGGTGACGGTGGCCAGCAGCGGCGCCACCAGCCGCCCCTTGGGCCGCCCGCCGCCGTCGGGCTCGAACATGCCCTGCGCGTCGCCCACACGCAGGTTCAGCAACCGCACGAAGAAGTGCTCGTCCTCCTCGAAGATGTCGTCGTCAATGATGCCAATGCGCAGCTCCTTCTGCGTCTCACCCGGCTTGAACACCAGCGTGCCCTCGCTGTGGCGGGGAACGGGGACAAAACGGGTGAGGGTCGGTCAACCAGCTTGCAAGGGGAGAATCGGGAGGCCCTTCGCAGAGGAGGGGCCGGTGCCTCAGGAGAGTGCAAAGTATGATGGAAGACAGGCATTATTAAACAGGTAACACTGAGAGTGAATCTGGGTGGGCTTCCTGGAGGGGACACAGAGCTGGGGAACAAGATAGGCTTGACTCCTCAAGGCGGGCATGAAACAGATCGGGGGCCAAACTTTGCCGGGAGGCATTAGTGGACACGCAGAGGGAACAGCCCATGCGAAGTCCCAGAGTTGGGAGGAAGCCTGGAGTGTAGGGCCTTGATTCTCAAACCTTCATGTGTACATGAGTCCCTCCAAGACCTCGTTAAAAATCAGATTCTGCTTCACAAGCTCTTGGTTCCTGGATTCTGCATTAGAATGCAGCCCCATGGAATGTGAGTGGTCCTGCTTACACTCTTCTGATTAAAACCCTTCTGTGCTCCCCAATGGCCCCAAGAGAAAGTCCAGGCTCTTTAACATAGCATTGTACAGTCGTTCAGCAAACGCTCCCCAGGCACCTGTTCTGTGCCCTGTGTTGAGTAGTGCTGGGGATTCAGCCATGACCAGTCCCCGTCTTCCCAGGCTCGTGGCCCCACGGAGAGCCACAGCACAGTGACACGCACACATTTAAGGATCGATGCAGTTCATTCATTCGACAGCCATTGCCGGAGCTCCGGCGCACGCCAGGCACTGTGGGCAATGGAGGAGCAGCCCCAAAACCAGAGGGAAATTCTGAGGGGACAGGGAATGAGTGGGCTCCTCCAGACACCACCATGACTCGGAGATGGTGATGAGTCTTGGAACTCTGTCACCTCGCTAACCCTTCCCGCCATGCACAGAAGGGGCTAGCCTGTACCGCCAAGTTAGACCAGTGTGTTCACCGTCATTCCTTCGGGTCCCTCTGTCAGAGGGGCCCTGGGCTTCGGTCCTTCAAGAGAAATCCAGCTCTTGGGAACCAGCAGTTAGCGTAATGGCTATGTCACTGGACTCCCACGTAGTCGACCGCGGTTCGTGTCCCGGACCTGGTGGCTTAAAACTCACGCCGGGTGCGTGTGCGTGCGTGCCCAAGATCCCGAGAGGAGAATGGAGGAGAAGGGATTGCGGCGTGACCATCCCCCCTGGGGGGTGATTTCTCGCTTTCTGTCTCTATGTCTCTCTCTGTCTGTCTGGCGAGCGCATGCGCCCTACAGTGAAAATCTCTCCAAAAAAAAAAGAGAGAGAAATCCAGCTCTTGGAAGGGACAAAGGGACCCTGAAGATTCTGACAAAGACGCAGGGGGCGTAGAAGCAGGTGACGAGACCTGGAGTGCAGGCCTCAGCATGCCAGACGCTGTGCATGGAGGCTGAGTACCCAGCAGTGGGCCCACCCGCTCCGGACACTGCCGCCCTCAGACGCTCTTTCCTTTCCTGGTAAGTGGAGTAGTTACAGGCCTACACCTGGCCTCGGGTAACGCCTGGGCAGTGCCTGGAGTCTGGGCAGTGGACCTCAGCGAGTCGGCATGTCATGTTAGACTTGAGAATCCTACAGCCACGGGCAGGTTAGAAATGTAAACTGCAGGCCAGCAGGTACCTTAGTGGTTAAGGGCCCCAGATTCCCACACAGCTGACTGTGGTTCGAGTCCCAGACCTGGCAGCTCGCTTTCTCTCTCGCTCTGTCCCTGTCTGGTTCAATTAAAATAAATAAAGTTAAATAAAATAATTTTTTTTTAAAAAAAAGAAACTTCATGGGCAGAAAAATGTGGGGACCTCAGCACCATCTTTGCCAAACCATTAAACCAGATATCACCAGGAATGGAGGAGCGGACACCGTGTGGGTCCTGATGCCGCACACCCAGGAGGACACAGCATCCCCTCCGTGGGATTCCTGCGGGAAGGGCACAGCTGAGTGTGGCTGTCAGAAACAGACAGCAGACTCGAATGGGCCCCTCGAGAAACACGGCTAGCATCAACGCATTGACTGGGTCGCCACAGCCACGGCAGGCTGAGAAGCTGATCCAAACCGAAGGAGACCAGGTGTGCTGCCCTGGCCTGAATGGAAGTGAGGGAGGGACTGAAACACAGCCAGATGGGACAGGGACAGGCAGGGCCACAGACACAGCTGCACACTGCACAGGACGTTGACGCAGCAGTAAACTCCCCGAGCACGATCTATGGTTATGCGAGAGAGTGTGGTCATTCTTAGGCGATGCACAACCAAGTACTTAGGGGCAAAAGATCATGGTGTCTCAGGAACCAGCAGTTAGCATAATGGCTATGTCGCTGGACTCCCACGTAGTCGACCGCGGTTCGCATCCCGGACCCGGTGGCTTAAAACTCACGCCGGGCGCGTGTGCGTGCGTGCGTGCCCAAGGTCCCGAGAGGAGAATGGAAGAGAAGGGATTGCGGCGTGACCATCCCCCCTGGGGGGTGATTTCTCGCTTTCTGTCTCTCTGTCTCTGTCTGTCTGTCTGTCAAGCACATGCACCCTATAGCAAAAACCTCTCCAAAAAAAAAAAGAGATCATGGTGTCACAACTTCGACAGTGCCACGATTATTAATATGACATGCGCAGGTCTTCAGAAAGTCACAGAAAGTGTGTATGACGAAAAACTCCATAGCTTTCTTTTCTTTTGCACCAAAGTAAACTCATCAAAAAGCTTTTTTTCTTTTTTTTTAGGTTTTTATGTTTTTGCCATAGGGTGGAAGCGCTCGCCAGACAGAAAGAGCGAGAGAAAGACAAGAAAGAGGGAAAGTAAGAAATCCCCCCTCGCAGGGATGACCATGGTGCAATTCCTTCTCCTCCATTCTCCTCTCCGGATTTTGGACGCACACACGCACCCAGTGTGATTTTCAAGCTGCCAAGTCCAGGACTCAAACCACACAGTCAGTCATTGAGCTCCAGCACCTTAAAAGTGCCCTCGTATTGGGGCTGCTAGGTGGCACGATGGCTCAGGTGCTGGACTCCCACATGACTGACTGCAGTTCAAATCCCAGACCTGGTGGCTTACTTTCTCACTTTCCCTGTCTTTCTCTGGTCAAATTAAAAACTAATAATAACAGATGGGTCTGGCAGGTGGTATGGTGGCTGAGGGCACTGGACTCCCACATGACTGACGACAGTTCGAGTCCCAGACCTGGCAACTTGCTTCCTCATTTTCTCTCTCTCTCTCTCTGTCCCTTTCTGGTAAAATAAAAATAAAGATTAAAAAATAATCCTTAAAAAATAATAATAGTAATAAATTAAATTAATCTTTTAAGAAAGTGCTCCCAGGGACCAGCAGATGGTGTAATGGTTATGTTGCTGGACTCCCATGTAGTTGACTGCAGTTTGAGTCCTGGACCCGGCAGCTTCAAACTCACGCCAGGCGCGTGTGTGTGCGTGCCCAAAATCCTGAGAGGAGAGGGAGTGGCAGGCGGTGTGGTGGTCGAGGGCACTGGACTCCCACATGGCCAAACCTGGAGGCTTTCTTTTCTTTCTTTCTTTCTTTCTTTCTTTCTTTCTTTCTTTCTTTCTTTCTTTCTTTCTTTCTTTCTCTAATATTTTTAATTTTATTTACTCATTTACTTATTTTATTTTGACCAGAGAGACACAGAGAGAGAGAGAGAGAAAGTGAGAAAGCAAGCCACCAGGTCCAGGACTTGAACCATGGTTGGCCATATGGGAATGTCCAGCACCTTAACCACCACACCACCTGCTGGTCCCCGAGGCTTGCTTTCTCACTATCACTCTCCTCTCTCTGGTTAATCTGAATACTACTACTACTAAATAAAATTATTATTTTTTTTTAATAATCCTGAGAGGAGAATGGAAGAGAAGTGATTATGGCATGGCCATTCCCCCAGGGGGGTGATTTCTCACTTTCTGTCTCTGTCTCTCTGGTGAGCACATGCACTTATAGCAAAAATCTCTCTCAAGGGGCCAGCAGGTGGTGTGGTGGTTAAGGGTGTTGGACTCCCACATGGTCGACCACAGTTCAAGTCCCGGACCTGGCAGCTTCCTTTCTCACTTTCTCTGTCTCTCTCTCTCTCTCACTCTGTCTCTTTCTGGTCAAATTAAAATAAATAAACAAAATGAATAACATTAAATAAAGTAATTCTTTTTAAAAGAATCTCTCGGAAAAAAAAAAAAGAAAGAAAAGAAAAACTGTCCCCATGTTAAAAAGAGAGTGATAGAAACACAGAGATGTGAACGACTGTGCACACGCACAGGGTGATGGTTACAGTGGATTTCTCAGACTGTCCTTGCAGCCCTTGTGGAGGTAGACAATGTTTCGATTGGAGAGAAAAGTGACGTGGGGATATGGAAAGCCGGGTGTCAAGACCATAGGAGGCTCAGTCCCGGGACTCCTGCACAGGAGGGCCACCCTAGCCCACGTGATACCCGTGGGACAAGCCGAAGGTGACTTTCCCTCTTCAAGGCCCTTACTTCCATGAGCCGGGGGCTGATGTAATAGGCACTAATATCTATGGTGTCCTCTAGGAACACAGCATCCACTAGGAGCTGTGCTCTGGGCCGTCCGACCACGTACACGGCAGCCCTGCCTGCCCACACTGAGGAAGGGACCTGCCCAGGGAACAGGGTGCAGGGCTGAGCCTGGACTCGGACGCCCTCGTCGCAGCCCCAGGCCTAGGCTGCCTTGTCAAGCGACGCCACGCCTTGAATATTGGCTGGGATGGGAGGGCAGGGCTGGGGAGGAGGGTGTTGGCTCTTCCTAGCTTTTTGGTTCCACCACTGAGCAGCCTTGACTCCTTCGCTTCAGACATCCTGGTCCAGAGTCACCTGCGAGAGAGAGGGCAGCCTCCCGATCCCAGAAGGCGACACCTGCACTTCCTTCCGCAAAAGCTCAGGGCTTCGGGTGTGGCCGTGCGGACCAGGGGTGTGTGTAGGAGTGGAAGGGTACAGATATGTGACAGCCGGCCTCTCCACCGAGGGACACGGGGGTGTGGACAGTGGGGGAGGATGGAGGCA